GATAGAGAATACTAGTTGCATGAGACTACTGTTGAAAGTTGGCACCAAATAACATCTTTAGTCAACATTATGGGTGGCAATTTGGCAGCATTAATGGGCGGCAAAATTAGTCAAATTTGGCAACCAAATTGTTGAATATTTTGGATGGTAAAACTATGCAATTAGTTATTGAACTTTAGGGTATTTACAAGATTAGTCCTTAAGTTTCAACTATAAATGCCCTAGCTCATTTAGCTTCAAAACCATCCCAAAGCATTCAAGCTTTCTTCCAATACCAGAGAGAATTTAGAGAGTTTCTTGAGAGTTATTTTCTCCTTTTTATCAAGAGAGAATTATCATTGTTTTCTCATTGGTCGATCGAGAAAAGTTGTAATTCCTATTTGTTTATTGTCTTTGTGGTCGCCACCAAAAGGTGGATCCTCCAACATAAGAAAGTAAGAAGGTATTACCCATTCTTTGAAGGTTCTAGAGAACTATTCACGATAGGAAAATAGTGGGAGCTATCCGTAATAGAAGCTATGACAACGAAATTTGATATTGAAAAATTCAATGGGAGAAATTTCTCATTGTGGAAATTAAAAATGAAGGTCATCTTAAGGAAAGACGGTTGTCTAGCAGCTATCAGTGAAAGGTCGGTGGATTTCATAGATGACAACAAATGGAACGAGATGGACGGGAATGCTATGACAAACTTTCATCTAGCATTAACAGATGAAGTATTATCAAGCATCGAGGAGAAGAAGACAGCTAAGGAGATATGAGATCATCTCACCAAATTGTACGAGGCCACATCGTTGCACAATAAAATTTTCCTTAAGAGAAAATTATACACTCTTCGTATGCCAAAATCTACTTCAGTGACAAAGCACTTAAATACACTAAACACTTTATTTTCTCAGCTTACATCCTTAAGTTGTAAAATAGGAGAATAAGAACATGCTGAACTTCTACTTCAAAGTCTACCTGATTCGTATGATCAACTCATCATCAACTTGACAAACAGTAATGTCACCAGTCTAGTCTTCGATGACGTTGCAGCTGCTGTTCTATAAGAAGAAAATCGGCGCAAGAACAAGGAAGACAGACAAGTAAATCTGCAACAAGCAGAAGCGTTGACAACGATGAGAGGGACATCAATAGAACTTGGCCAAAGCAGCAGTCACAAATATGGTAGATCGAAGTCGAGAAGCAAGAAGAATTTAAAGTGCTACAACTGTGGAAAGAATGGTCACTTGAAGAAGAATTGTTGGAGTCTGAATAAAAACTCCAATCCACAAGGCAATACCACAAACACTTCAGATGATGGAGATGCTCTATGTTGTGAAGCGTCAACCACCGTGGAAGGTAGAAAGAGATATACAGATATATGGCTCATTGATTCGGGAGCAACATATCACATGACCTCAAGAAGAGAATGGTTCCATCATTATGAACCTGTCTCAGGAGGATTTGTCTATAGTTGCAATGATCATGCCTTGGAGATCATTGGCGTAGGAACCATCAAACTGAAGATGTATGATGGAACAATTAAAGTTGTTCGAGATGTGCGATACGTGAAAGGCTTGAAGAAAAATTTATTATCCTATGGATTGTTGGATAATAATGGAAGCAAGATTGAAACACGGAAAGGAATCATGAAGGTGTTCCGTGGAGAGCTTGTGGTACTGAAAGGCAAAAAGATAGCAGGAAACTCATACATGTTGAAGGGAGAGACTTTGCTAGAAGCATAAGCCTTTGCTGCCTCATGTAGTTCCGATTCTGCAATGCTATGGCATCAGAAACTTAGACGCATGTCAGAACAAGGAATGAAAGTCCTTGCGGAGAAAAAGCTACTTCCAGACTTAACAAAGGTATCACTTACTTTGTGTGAGCATTGCATAACAAGTAAGCAACACCGGTTGAAATTGAACACATCAAATTCTAGAGGCAAAAATGTTCTAGAACTGGTTCACTCTGACGTATGGCAAGCACCAGTTACATCCGTAGGCGGAGCAAAATATTTTGTCTCATTTATTGACGACTACTCCATGAGATGTTGGGTGTACCCTATTAAGAAGAAGTCAGATGTGTTTTGCAATTTCAGAAACTTCAAAGCGCGGGTGGAACTTGATTCTGGAAATAAGATCAAGTGTTTCAGAACAGATAATGGAGGAGAATACACAAGTGAAGAATTTGATGACTTTTACAGGAAATAAGGCAATAAAAGACAGTTCACAATGGCGAATACTCCTCAACAAAATGGAGTGGCAGAGCGGATGAACAGAATCTTGCTAGAAAGAACAAAAGCAATGTTTAGAGATGCAGACCTAGAAAAATCATTTTGGGCAGAAGCAGTCAATACCACATGTTATTTGGTGAATCGAGCTCCATAAACTGCAATATAGCTGAAAACACTAATGGAGATGTGGACTGGTAAACCAGCTAATTATTCAAACCTCCATGTATTTGGAAGTATTGTGTACGTGATGTACAACTCCCAAGAAATTTCAAAGTTGGATCTAAAATCTAGGAAATACAAATTCTTGGGGTATGTTGATGGAGTAAAGGGGTATCGCTTGTGGGATCCCACTGCCCGCAAAGTGATAATCAACAAGGAAGTTATCTTTATAGAGGATAAACTACAAAGAAAAGAACACGATGATAGCGCAGAAAAGTCAGAGACTACACAGATACATGTGGAAAAGGATAATGAACAAAGAGATTCTTATGAAGCAGAACTAGCACATGATGAACAAGAACCAGAGATTTCTGAAGCTCCAACAACTCGTCAATCAGATCGTGTGAGAAGACGTCCCAATTAGCACTCAGATTATGTTATAGAAGGTAATATTTCATACTGCCTTTTAACAGAGGACGGTGAGCCATCAACATTTCAGGGGGCAATAAGCAGCTCAGATGCTTCACTGTGGATGATGGCGATGCAAGAAGAAATTGAAGCCCTTCATAAAAATAATACATGGGACCTTGTGCCACTACCACAAGGAAGGAAGTCAATTGGTAACAAATGGGTCTTCAAAATCAAACGAAATGGTGACAATCAAGTGGAGAGGTATCGTGCAAGACTGGTAGTCAAAGGATATGCTCAAAAAGAAGTTATTGATTTCAAAGAAATCTTTTCTCTTGTGGTTCGACTAACAACAGTTCGAGTAGTCTTGGCAATGTGTGCTACATTGAACTTACATCTAGAGCAGCTAGATGTTAAAACAGATTTTCTTCATGGAAATCTTGAAGAAGAGATTTACATGCTCCAGCTTGAAGGTTTTGAAAGAAAAGAAGAACTTGATTTGCAGGTTTAACAAATCTATGTACGGTCTAAAGCAGGCGCCGATGTGTTGGTATAAGAGATTTGATTCCTTCATTATGTGTCTTGGATACAAAAGACTTAATTCAGATCTTTGTGCTTATTTCAAGAGGTCTGGTGATAAGGATTTTGTAATATTATTGTTGTATGTGGATGACATGTTAGTTGCAGGACCCAACAAAGATCATATTGAAGAATTGAAGGCATAACTGGCTATGGAATTTTAAATGAAGGACTTAGGATCAGCAAACAAGATTCTAGGGATGTAAATTCACCGAGACAGAAGTAATAGGAAGATTTGGCTTTCATAAAAGAATTACTTGAATAAGATCTTATCACGATTTAGCATGCAAGATTGTAAGCCAATTTCTACCCCTCTTCCTATTAACTTCAAATTATCCTCCAGTATGAGTCCTAGTAGTGAAGAAGAGAGGACGGAGATGTCTCGAGTACCGTATGCATCAACAGTAGGAAGTTTAATGTTCGCTATGATATGCACAAGAAAGACATTGCACAAGCAGTGGTAGTAGTTAGTTGGTATATGGCGAATCCAGGCAAAGAGCATTGGAATACAGTAAAGAGGATCCTGAGATACATCAAAGGGACCTCAAATGTTACATTATGTTACGGAGGATCAAATTTATTAATCAATGGTTATGTAAATTCTGACTATGCAGGGGATTTGGATAAAAGCAAATCTACTACAGGATATGTGTTCAAAGTTGCTGGGGGGTTGTAAGCTGGGTTTCAAAATTGCAGTAAGTTGTGGCTACATCCACAATAGAGGCAGAATATCTAGCAGCTACACAAGCCAGTAAAGAAGCAATTTGGTTGAAGAGGCTATTGGAGGAGCTTGGGCACAATCAAGAGTATGTCTCTCTGTTTTGTGACAATCAAAGCGCCTTGCATTTAGTAAGAAATCCAGCATTTCATTCAAGGACAAAGCACATACGAGTTCAATACCATTTCATTCGTGAAAAGGTGGAAGAAGGGACGGTAGATATGCAGAAAATTTATACCAAAGACAACATAGTAGATTTCATGACGAAGGCAATCAATGCTGATAAATTTACTTGGTGTCGATCCTCTTGTGGTCTGTCAGAGACATAAGCAATATGAAAGGTACAAGGTAGAAAGAATGGTGTGAAGATATGATTGTTCCAATCAAATCTTCAAGTAGGAGATTGTTAAAAGTTAGCATCAAATAGCATCTTCAGTCAACATTATGGGTAGCAATTTGGCAGCATTAATGGGCGATAAAATTAGTCAAATTTGGCCACCAAATTGTTGAATATTTTGGATGGTAAAACTATGCAATTAGTCATTTAACTTTAGGGTATTTATAAGATTAGTCCTTAAGTTTCAACTATAAATACCCTAGCTCATTTAGCTTCAAAACCATCCCAAAGCATTCTAGCTTTCTTCGAATACTAGAGAGTTTCTTGAGAGTTATTTTCTCCTTTTTATCAAGAGAGAATTATCATTGTTTTCTCCTTGGTCGATCGAGAAAAGTTGTAATTCCTATTTTCTCATAGTGAAATTCTTCTACCGTTGCCTGTGGTTTTTACCCTATATTATTTAGGAGTTTTCCACGTAAAATTTGTGTCTTCTTTATTTTCATTTTTATTTTCTCAAATTATCAGTTGAGATTTTGTTCTACCTGATAGCTTTCTTCCGCAACAATTGGTATCAGAGCCAGATTAGAGTGTGTAATATATGCTTATTGTCTTTGTAGTTGCCACCAAAAGGTGGATCCTCCAACATAAGAAAGTAAGAAGGTATTACCCATTCTTTGAAGGTTCTAGAGAACTATTCACGATAGTGAAATAGTGTGAGCTATCCGTAATAGAAGCTATGACAATGAAATTTGATATTGAAAAATTCAATGGAGAAATTTCTCATTGTTAAAAATGAAGGCCATCCTGAGGAAAGACGGTTGTCTAGCAGCTATCAGTGAAAGGCCGGTGGATTTTATAGATGACAGCAAATGGAATGAGATGGACGGGAATGTTATGGAAAACTTTCATTTAGCATTAACAGATGAAGTATTGTCAAGCATCGAGGAGAAGAAGACAGCTAAGGTGATATAAGATCATCTTACTAAATTTTACGAGGCCACATTGTTGTACAATAAAATTTTCTTTAAGAGAAAATTGTACACTCTCCGTATGCAGAATCTACTTCAGTGACAGAGCACTTAAATACACTGAACACTTTATTTTCTCAGCTTACATCCTTTCACGTGTAAAATAGGAGAACAGTAATGTCACCAGTCTAGTTTTCCATGACGTTGCAGCTGTTGTTCTACAAGAAGAAAATTGGTACAAGAACAAGGAAGACAAATAAGTAAATCTGCAACAAGCAGAAACGTTGACAACGATGAGAGGGAGATTAATAGAACATGGCCAAAGAAGCAGTCACAAACATGATAGATCGAAGTCGAGAAGCAAGAAGAATTTAAAGTGCTACAACTGTGGAAATAATGGTCACTTGAAGAAGGATTGTTGGAGTCTGAATAAAAACTCCAATCCACAAGGCAATACCGCAAACACTTCAGATTATGGAGATGCTCTATGTTATGAAGCGTCAACCACCGTGGAAGGTAAAAAGAGATATGCAGATATATGGCTCATTGATTCGGGAGCAACATATCACATGACCTCAAGAAGTGAATGGTTCCATCATTATGAACCTGTCTCAGGAGGATCTGTCTATAGTTGCAATGATCATGCCTTGAAGATCGTTGGCGTGGGAACCATCAAATTGAAGATGTATGATGGAACAATTAAAGTTGTTCGAGATGTGCGACACGTGAAAGCTTGAAGAAAAATTTATTATCCTACGGATTGTTAGATAATAATGCAAGCAAGATTGAAACATGGAAAGGAATCATGAAGGTGTTCCGTGGAGTGCTTGTGGTACTGAAAGGTGAAAAGATAGCAAGAAACTTGTACATGCTGAAGGGAGAGACTTTGCTAGAAGCAGAAGCCTCTGTTGCCTCATGTAGTTCCGATTCTGCAATGTTATGGCATCAGAAACTTGGACACATGTCAGAACAAGGAATGAAAGTCCTTGCGGAGCAAAAACTACTTACAGGCTTAACAAAGGTATCACTTACTTTGTGTGAGCATTGCATAACAAGTAAGCAGCACCGGTTGAAATTGAACACATCAAATTCTAGAGGCAAAAATGTTCTAGAACTGGTTCACTCTGACGTATGGAAAACACCAGTTACATCCGTAGGCAGAGCAAAATATTTTGTCTCATTTATTGATGACTACTCCAGGAGATGTTGGGTGTACCCTATTAAGAAGAAGTCAGATGTGTTTTGCACTTTCAAAAACTTCAAAGCGCGGGTGGCACTTGATTCTAGAAATAAGATCAAGTGTTTCAGAACAGATAATGGAGGAGAATACACAAGTGAAGAATTTGATGACTTTTGCAGGAAAGAATGCATCAAAAGACAGTTCACAGTGGCGAACACTCCTCAACAAAATAGAGTGGCAGAGCGGATGAACAAAACCTTGTTAGAAAGAACAAGAGCAATGTTGAGGGATGCAGACCTAGAAAAATCATTTTGGGCAGAAGCAGTCAATATCGCCTGTTATTTGGTGAATCGAGCTCCATCAACTGCAATAGAGATGAAGACACCAATGGAGATGTGGAATGGTAAACCAGCTGATTATTCAAACCTCCATGTATTTGGAAGTATTGTGTACATGATGTACAACTCCCAAGAAATTTCAAAGCTGGATCCAAAATCTAGGAAATGCAAATTCTTGGGGTATGTTGATGGAGTAAAGGGGTATCGCTTGTGGGATCCCACTGCCCGCAAAGTGGTCATCAGCAGGGATGTTATCTTTGTAGAGGATAAACTACAAAGAAAAGAAGACGATGATAGCGCAGAAAAGTCAGAGACTACACAGATACATGTAGAAAATGAGGATGAACAAGGAGATTCTTATGAAGCAGAACCAGCACATGATGAACAAGAACCAGAGAGTTCTGAAGCTCCAACAACTCGTCAATCAGATCGTATGAGAAGACGTTCCAATTGGCACTCAGATTATGTTATAGAAGGTAACATTTCATACTGCCTTTTAACAGAGGACGGTGAGCCATCAACATTTCAGGAGGCAATAAGCAGCTCAGATGCTTCACTGTGGATGATGGCGATGCAAGAAGAAATTGAAGCCCTTCATAAAAATAATACATGGGACCTTGTGCCACTACCACAAGGAAGGAAGCCAATTGGTAACAAATGGGTCTTCAAAATCAAAAGAAATAGTGACAATCAAGTGGAGAGGTATCATGCAAGACTCGTAGTCAAAGGATATGCTCAAAAAGAAGGTATTGATTTCAATGAAATCTTTTCTCATGTGGTTCGACTAACAACAGTTCAAGTAGTCTTGGCAATGTGTGCTACATTGAACTTACATCTAGAGTAGCTAGATGTTAAAATAACTTTTCTTCATGGAAATCTTGAAGAAGAGATTTGCATGCTCCAGCCTGAAGGCTTTGAAGAAAAAGAAAAGAAGAACTTGATTTGCAGGTTGAACAAATCTCTGTATGGTCTAAAGCATGCGCCGAGGTGTTGGTATAAGAGATTTGATTCCTTCATTATGTGCCTTGGATACAACAGACTTAATTCAGACCCTTGTGCTTATTTCAAGAGGTCTGGTGATAACGATTTTGTTATATTGCTATTGTATGTGGATGGCATGTTAGTTGCAGGACCCAACAAAGATCATATTGAAGAATTGAAGGCACAACTGGATAGGGAATTTGAAATGAAGGACTTGGGATCAGTAAACAAGATTCTAGGGATGCAAATTCACCGAGACAGAAGTAATAGGAAGATTTGGCTTTCACAATAGAATTACTTGAAAAATATCTTATCACGATTTAGCATGCAAGATTATAAGCCAATTTCTACCCCTCTTCCTATTAACTTCAAATTATCCTCTAGTATGAGTCCTAGCAGTGAAGAAGAGAGGATGGAGATGTCTCGAGTACCGTATGCAGCAGCAGTGGGAAGTTTAATGTTTGCTATGATATGCACAAGACCAAACATTGCACAAGCAGTGAGAGTGGTTAGTTGGTACATGACGAATCCAGGCAAAGAGCACTGGAATACAGTAAAGAGGATCCTGAGATACATCAAAGGGACCTCAAATGTTGCATTATGTTACGGAGGATCAAATTTATTAATCAATGGTTATATAGATTCTGACTATGCAAGGGATTTGGATAAAAGCAAATCTACTACATGATATGTGTTCAAAGTTGCTGGGGGGCTGTAAGCTGGGTTTCAAAATTGCAGTCAGTTGTGGCTACATCCATAACAGAGGCAGAATATCTAGCAGCTACACAAGCCAGTAAATAAGCAATTTGGTTGAATATGCTATTGAAGGAGCTTGGGCACAATCAAGAGTATGTCTCTCTATTTTGTGATAGTCAAAGCGCCTTGCATTTAGCAAGAAATCCAACATTTCATTAAAGGACAAAGCACATACGAGTTCAGTACCATTTCATTCGTGAAAAGGTGGAAGAAGGGACGGTAGATATGCAGAAAATCCATACCAAAAACAACATAGCAGATTTCATGACGAAGGCAATCAATGCTGATAAATTTACTTGGTGTCGATCCTCTTATGGTCTGTTAGAGACATAAGCAATATGAAAGGTACAAGGTAGAAAGAATGGTGTGAAGATATGATTGTTCCAATCAAATATTCAAGTGGGAGATTGTTGAAAGTTGGCACCAAATAGCATCTTTAGCCAACATTATGGGTAGCAATTTGGCAGCATTAATGGGCGGCAAAATTAGTCAAATTTAGCCACCAAATTGTTGAATATTTTGGATGGTAAAACTATGCAATTAGTCATTGAACTTTAGGGTATTTATAAGATTAGTCCTTAAGTTTACCCTAGCTCATTTAGCTTCAAAACCATCCCAAAGCATTCTAGCTTTCTTCCAATACTAGAGAGAATTTAGAGAGTTTCTTGAGAGTTATTTTCTCCTTTTTATCAAGAGAGAATTATCATTGTTTTCTCCTTGGTCGATCGAGAGAAGTTGTCATTCCTATTTGCTCATAGTGAAATTCTTCTACTGTTGCCCATGATTTTTACCCTATATTATTTAGGAGTTTTCCACGTAAAATTTGTGTCTTCTTTATTTTCATTTTTATTTTCTCAAATTATCAGTTGAGATTTTGCTCTATCTGATAGCCGTCTTCCGCAACAACTACTCCTTCGAGTTTTAATAGGTGTAAGTGAATTGAGGTTTAAAAAATAAAAGTGTGTTCGTTTGTTTTTTAAAATGTTTATGTTCATTTAGATTTTTAGTATATTTTCGAATTCATTTGTTTAACTTTATAAGCATGTTCATTTAGTATTCGCAAACATATTCATTTACATGTTCGTTTAATTTAAGCAACAATCATTCTCTTTTTATCCTTTTATTTACTAGTCAAAGAAAATTTGTAAAATTATATCATTAGTCTTTAAATTCCTTAAGCTTCGTAATTTGAACTCTAAAATTCACTTTATATTCAATTTAGTCCTTATATTCACCAATAATTAAAATACAAAAAATAAAAGAAAAAAACTAATTAGATAAACAAACTTGTAAATGAGAAAATAAACAAGTTAATAAATGAATTGCTAAAAGAGTCAATAAACAAGTTTGTCTGTTAACATAAGCAAATCAAACACACCTCTATTCATTTAGTTGTTCACAAACGATTCATCAAACACCGTGTTAATTTACACCTTAAGTTTTAACCCGATGCACCAGGCTATGCCAATACAATAATTTTATACAAAGCTTTAGAACCTTAAAAATCCAATCTAAAATTAAAACTATAATATGTGGAGTTTCAAATATTATCTGCCAACTGTAGCTAATGTACATTCACGCAGGCTCTCCAACAAAGAACTCTATAAAGGTTGACAATCTGAAGTAAAAACTATGGAACACTTGACTAGAAGCTGTCCGTTCACACAACAAATCCTGCAAGAATATTCAACTAAAATACGAGAAAATTATACGAAAAAATGGTAATGCATTCTTGGATTAAATGGCAAGTCAGACAAATTATAATGCCTCAAAAGTTTGAGTTCAAAATGAGAACATTCCCATTCACACATCTAATTGATTCATCACTCTTGCCTTTTTCATAAAACCAAAGTTAATCTACCTGGGGTAATCGAGACATCTAAACATTGTTCATTTGAATTCAAACAATTTACCATATCTGAAACCACGATAAGAACAGAACATATCTTAAAGGGGTCCAGGACACGAGGAACAAACAAGTTACAGATCCGAATACAAGGAATGTCCCAACAACGAAACCCCCATCTGGGGAAAAAACAGAGGGAGATCTAGAGAGGAAAACCCTCGAGAGAAACCCATTAAAAAAAGGTTACTATCGCGCAGCTATGACTCGAAACGCTTCCATGGACGTTAAACGAAAGGTGATCTTAGGGGCCTACGCGTTTAACTCATCGAAGAGAAAGAAAAATAAAACGATAACAAATAGGAAAATGCAAATTCTAGGAAGGAACTGCTACATCTGATAATAAGAAACGAAACACTAAGGAGGTTTTTGGATGGGGGAATGTGGATTCCATTTTCTGTTTGGTTAGTTCGGGAATCTCATTCCCGGTAATGTAAGATTACCAATAGTGGATTTTTTGGAGTATATTATCGGGAATGTCATTACCTCCATTTCTTAAGGTATTGTTGGATTTCCGGCGTTTTGTACTAAAATGCCCTTAATTTTTTTTAAATATTATTTTTCTGTCATTGAATAATAAAAATTATACGAATGTTAAATTACAAATTTATCCTTAAACTATTTTAGATTTACAAAAAAAAATCTATAATTAAAATTTTATATGAAGTTCAGGAGTTAAAATAAAATTTTATCATTTCATTAAACCTTTTTATATTTTCAATTTTGTAAAATAATTATATAAATTTTATGAATTTAATTTTTTTTTTAAAAATATATAAATATTTTTCAACTTTTTAAAAACAAATATATAATAAAGACAATTTGGTCAAATATACATTCTAATAATCTTTTATTCTTTTAACCAAACACGGTAATCTTACATTCCTGCTAAGTCAACCAAACACAAAATACAACATTCCCAGTAATCCTATTCTCTGGTAATCTTACATTCTCACCGGTAATCTTTCATTCCTTAAACCAAACGCACCCTAAATCGAACGGATTATATAAAGGGAATATTGATAGCAGACAATTTGCAATGGTATAACGATATTGAGCTACACTCTTGCGGGCCTCATTGGGGGATGTTCGGGCTTTGAGAACCTCAATGGTGGGCTTTTTTTCAGTAAAATGGGCTAAAAGTTACATAGGTTTATTTACTTGTTTGTGTGTAAGTTGTTTAACGTCTAAAATATATTTTTTAAAATATTTTTATGTTTATAGGACTCATCTTTCAAAATTCTCAGGTGGAAGCCGATGCAAAATGGGTGATCGAAACCTTAAACCGAAACAGAATAATTTGATGGGTAACATGTGAACTGGTGCCGGAACTTCACAACATTTCATGGATGATGCTTGTCCTTTCAAATCATGTAGGATGCTTTTACGACATGTATTTGCCAGTAGAATTGTTGAAATAAAAAGACCGTCCACAGTGGAACCTCTTGTACTTCTTTTTGTGTCTTTGAAATGGCTTTTTATTAATGGAAAAGTTTTTGTTGTTGTGCCCAGGGCCGCCTTCCTCAGGGACTTCAATTTAATTTTTTTATATTTATAATTAGACCCTTAATTTTTAATTTTGTAAAATTTTTAGTTTTTAATATTTTTTCCATTTATCTTATTAATTCACCAAATTTTTATATTTATAATTATGGGCCATAATTTTTATAATTTCATAAAATGTTTAGTTTTTGACCCTCCTTTTCCATTTATCTTATTCATTCATTCAATTTTTAATTAAATTTAATCATATTTTTTCTTTATTCAAATATTACTCTTCAATTTATCAAATATTCTTTAATTTTTAGTCTTCTTCATTCTTAATCTAACAATAAAATAATATACAATTCTTTTTATTTATGTATTATTCAAAATCAAATTATTGTATCATACATGCATTCAATATTTTTATTGAAATAAAGAATAGTCCAATTTGATCCTTGTAGCTGGCTTCACAGATTTGGGTATTTTAATGACTGTTTTCTTGTGTATTTGGTTGTACTCTCTTTTTTCTTTCACGTTAACACTTTCACTTATTTATTTTACTTGTTAACTATTGAAAGAGTAAGCCCTGAATAAAAAAGAGGGGCTTTTCATTTAGCTATATATATATATATATATATATATAAAAGAAGGTTAAAAGGGTTGATTTGAAATTTTTGGGTATGAATGTCGATGTTGATAGTGGCTGCCAATGACCGAGACGTCACGTTATTGATGAGTGACAATCAATTCATAAAGAGATTTTGATCCAATTTATAAGTTAAATTTATATTTTATTTAAAACTTATAGTCAATGCTATTTTATCTAAAATTTAAAGATAATATTAAAAATATATCCTTTTTACTAACGTATGCAAGCGACAGATTTAAAAATATTTTTTAGGATACACATATTAATTATTGATTTTTTTTATAAAATGAATACAAATAAAATTTCAAGGTAGACACTCATAATAAAATACGACAATTAATATAAAGAAATTCATATTCTAAAGTGGACACGTGTTCATTATGAGTATATTTTGCATCCACCACTGACGCATAATGACTCAATAAGCAAATATAAAACCCACTAACATAAGTGATTAAAATTTAATAAATCGATAATATAAGTAATTGAATATTTTTTTCAAAACCAATGATAAAACAAGAACAAAAGCAACGTTTTGAAAATCGGACCGGACCGGTCGGTTCAATCGGGAATCACTGCCAGGTCCGGTTCATTTTAACCCGATTAAATCGTTACTAATGAACCGCAAGGAACTATTGAACCGGCTGTGAACCGTTCGAACCGAACCGGGAGTGAATCGCTAAAAATCGGCCATCAATAAAAAATTTGATTTGTGTTCTTATCAAAATGATTAAATGTTGTTGAAGTTTATCTTTATTTGGAAGGATATTAATATTTCGACTTTTATTTTGAAGATTAATCAACTTTTGTTTTGGTTTTAATGTGTAATGTTTGGAGATTTTTATTATAAGCAAATCAAGTAATAAATGATGAAATTGTTTGATTCAAGTTTGGGTCTTAAAGTGAAATTGTTTCTTTGTTTTTTATTAGGGTTTTAAGGTTATATCGGCTTTGATCATTTTTCTAAAAATGGTGTGTCTACTTTGATCAATTTGTGTTATTGAAGTGATAAAAAATGTGCAAGTCAATTTTTTCTTTAATGGGTATTGTTTTCTTGAGTTGTAGGAGCCACTCGTTTAGATATAGTTTGGGTAGGTTCATTGCTAAGTAAATTTCAGAACCTTACTTTTAATTAATGTCAATTATATTATCAAATTTTGATGAGCATTTGTTCATGTACTCAGAGAAGTGCTATATTTTCTCTAGTTGAACCTGAAAAGATGTTCAACTTTTCATCCTAATTGTTCAAATTACTTAGCTTGCATGTGTATGGTTTTCATTTTCTGGATCAAAATTTTTGAAAACTATATTTTTGTTTCATTACTGAATTAACTTTGCAATATCATGAGTAAAGCATTCAAATTGTGTTTGAAACCATGAAAACAGATACCGCGTTAAAATCTATTTAGAAGGTTTCAGTTATCACATGTAATTTTTAGAAATCTATATTATGGTTAATTGTGTAATCATGTTTGTAAATTTCAAGACTTGTTCTTGTTTTATACTTGTTTGATCTGCTTTACTGTAAAAATTCATGTTATATTGCTTGAAAGGAGGAGTATCATAGTACTGATTTAAAGTTTGAAGCTGAAGATGTCTCCTTTTTAAGATTAATAATATGTGCAACCTTTGATTATATTTGTACAGAAACGTGAGAATATAGTAATACCTAGATGGTCTGGACCGAGAAAGATGTTAATGGCAGTGAGAAGGACCTGATTGCAGAAAATGGTTTCTTAAAGGATCAACCGTCTTCTCCTGGTCCAAGTACTTTAACAGCTGATGTGATTCCCACACAGAAGGCATTTGAAGGGAAAGATGCTCTTTCATATGCTAACATTCTTTGGTCCAGGAACAAGTTTGTCGACGCTCTTGCCATATATAGTAGTGTCTTGGAGAAAGAAAATTGGTGTGTTGAAGCCCACATTGGAAAAGGTATTTGCTTGCAGATGCAGAACATGGCAAGGCCTGCATTTGAGAGCTTTGCTGAAGCCATCAAGTTGGATCCTCGGAATGCTTGTGCTCTCACTCACTGTGGTATACTGTACAAAGATGAAGGTCATCTGACAGATGCTGCTGAGGTTTGCTCATATTCGGTTCATTGACTAGTGGCTTATTTGTGGGTTCTTGCAATTTGAGTCTGCACCTGTTTATTATGCAGTCTTACCAAAAAGCGTTAAGAGCAGACCCTTCATACAAACCAGCTGCAGAATGCCTAGCAATTGTTCTAACTGATCTCGGAACCAGCCTGAAGCTTGCTGGCAATACTCAAGAGGGAATTCAGAAATATTATGAAGCTCTTAAAATAATTCCACACTATTCTGTAATCTCATTCTCTTTCATTCCTCCATCAGTAATTGTTGTTGTAATTTAAATTTTCTACGTGTAGTCATGGTCTTTTTAATTCCCACTTTCCCTAGTTGTGCTAATATATTATATATTATATATTCGTATACTTGTACCAAATTTATACAGCCTGCCTACTATAACCTTGGTGTTGTGTACTCCGAGTTGATGCAATATGACACAGCCCTTTGTTGCTATGAGAAGGCTGCACTGGAGAGACCTATGTATGCTGAAGCATATTGCAACATGGGTGTCATTTATAAAAACCGTGGTGACTTAGAATCTGCCATTGCCTGCTACGAGAGGTACTATGCAGTTAGTTGCTTAACCTTGTCGTCTGCTGGTCATCACTTGTAGTTGGTTTATTTCAGTGTTTTCTTCATCATTACTGAAACTCTATTTTCTTAATTATTTTCTTACTAGGTGTCTGGCTGTGTCTCCTAACTTTGAGATTGCAAAAAATAATATGGCAATTGCCTTGACAGATTTAGGAACAAAGGTGCATTCTCTCCCTCATTATTTTAAATAGCATCATCCAAACTTTTTTTTAAGTATTCTTTTCTTAGTTTTTGTTTCTGGCTTTATTTCATGACCTTTAGCCCATAGTTTACAGGTTGCTTATTTTACTGAAACTTGGCCAGTTAAAACACTTGAGGACTATGTGGCTATGTCCATCTGCGTCCTACACTTCTAGAAACATGAGACATCCATACAGAGAATTCATTTCTGCTCTTGGGAAAAAGACCTGATAAGCTTTGTCGGAGGCCATTGCAATTGCATTTACTTTAAGAAAGCTGTAGTCTCTTTTGCATTTAAACTGTGATCCTAATACACTGACAACTTGTAACAGAAAAACATAAAAGCTGTAGGTTGAGATATTTGAATAGTGCCCATCTAACCGTGGTGTCTGAGTCTATTATGATTGACACACACATACTTTTGCTTGTGACAAAATAGCATTGGTTCTTATAATTTTTTGCAGAATCTTTTATATGTTCTGTTAATTCTTTGATCAACACTTTCATCAGATCAAAATGCTTTCTTGCGTCTTTGGCAACCCTTATTGACTTTTTTGTGGAAGTCAGTTCCATTGTACTTTCTTTTTAATAATTGATTTCTGAGTTTTTCTATCCCTGATTTTGCATTCAGTGATATGTCTCTTCAGGTTAAGTTGGAGGGGGACATTAACCAAGGTGTAGCATGTTACAAGAAGGCTTTGTATTATAATTGGCACTATGCGGATGCTATGTATAATCTTGGGGTTGCTTATGGTGAAATGCTGAAATTTGATATGGTAAGTAATTACTTGAGCTGTATTTTCTTGGAAGTGCATGATTCTCTTCGTGGAACTGGATTTCTCATAGTCACATGGATCGCGGTACGCTCCGGTACAGGAACGTGGAACGGGATCGCAATTCGTTAGGTCCCTAAAATTCGGTACGAGGGGGGTAGACTTATTTCGGATCGCTCCGGTACGATGTACCAGTTTCTTAGGTTGTTATTTTTCTACATCAAATTTTATAAGTAACTATAAATAGTAAGAATAAAATAAAAGAAATTAAAACTTCTTTAATAACTGAAATAACACATAAAAAAAAAACAAAGATTTAAACAGATATTTACCCTTAACCAGAAACACGAAAATGAGAAAAAGCCAAAACGATTGCATTTTTTTTTTGAAAACAAATTTTAGAGTCCATTTTATTCAAGACCAAACCTGTTCATATTACAAAATCACTATTTACCAGATAAATCCAATAAAAAGTGTTCATTACAAGAGTTTCTCAAGATAGTCCATTTATAGCCCAATATACTTGAATTTTAAAAATAAAAAAATTGGTCTTCTTTGCCTTATTTCTGCCGCGGGTTTTGCCAGGTAAATGAGGTGGGACCCTTGCTTTTATGAAATTAATAATTTTGGTATTTTCTAGGATGGCAGCTCATCAAACCAAGTGAAGAAAACACAAATCAACTTGGACCATTGATGAGCTTTGATCCAAGGGCCCTTATTCCCAGCCACTTCATCCATCCAAGTCAAACAAACACAAATCACTTAGAGCCCTTGGTTGAAGGCTTGATCCTTAGGCTCCCGTCGCGCCACGTCATTGATCCATAGGAGAAAACACAAAGTGTTTTAAGCCATTAGATCTACTTTGATCCAAGGGTGGGAAGGTTGGATCATCATCATAAGCCAAAACGGGCTTATTTTTATTTTGTTTCATTTCTTAGTTTTGGGAGAGAGAGAGAGAGGGAGATACAACCGGCGACCAGATTCCGATGGGTTTTCCGCCGTGTCATCGATGGCCGCCACCGTACGTCAGCGTCAGAATTAAAAGAGAGATGTCACCCGAAGCGTTTCCTCACCCTTGTTTCAGATCCAAGGTTAATTTCGCCTAAAAATGTGTCTATCAAGGTAGATCTACGAAGAAAGCTTCAACTTTTTTCGTCTTCGGCGATTTTGGAACGTGTTCGTACCGAATCGTATAATCTTTCGTACTGAATCGCGATTTTGGAACGACCAGAACGCGATTTTAGAACGACTGGAACGCGTTCGTACCGCGTTTTGGATCGCAGCGTTCAGTTCGTAGATCGTGGGCTATTGAGCGATTTATTTAACTATGGGATTTCTATTTGTCATTGATGGTAAAAGTTTTTCTTATACATGCTTTGTAGGTTGTTTTTTCATTGTTTGCGTGAGATAAGAATCTAATTATTGATTTTTGTTTACAAGGCAGTTGTGTTATATGAACTTGCTTTCCACTTCAACCCCCGCAGAGGCATGCAACAACTTAGGAGTAATATACAAAGATAGAGACAACCTTGATAAAGCTGTGGAATGTTATCAGGCAATATTTGACTCTTGTCTAGCATTTTAAGCCATCATTCTCCATTGCATTCCTTGATCTTCGTATTAATAATATCTTCTTGCAGTTGGCTTTGTCAATCAAACCAAACTTCTCTCAGTCATTGAACAACCTTGGTGTTGTCTACACAGTTCAGGTTGGAAGTGGAATTATGGATCTAACTGTTAGACTATGTCTCAAACAGTGATTGACTACGAGTTTGCTATTGTCAGGGTAAAATGGATGCTGCTGCTAGCATGATCGAGAAAGCTATTATTGCCAATCCTACATATGCAGAAGCTTATAACAATTTAGGTTTTCTTTTGCTTCTTAGTTATGTTACTCCAAAATCTTTAAACATTTTTGGGACACCATGTACACGCCATCACTTCGTTACATTTTTCAGGGGTTCTTTACAGAGATGCTGGCAATATTTCCATGGTTGTTACAGCGTATGAGCAGTGCCTTAAGATAGATCCTAATTCTCGTAATGCAGGACAAGTACCATTTCATGAATCTTATATAGTGTAGAAATCAGAGTAATTCTCTGTAATTTCTTATTCTTTTCAATAGGACAAATTATATATTTATATACAAATCATCTCTCTAAAGTAGGAAACTCTAAGAAAGGAAATATACTAATCTTTAGGAGATATGATCCCTTAAAATAAGGGATTGTAGAATATTTACAGAATCCCTTAATTAAAGGATATTTACAGAATCCCTTAAGTAAAGGATATTTACAGAATCATATATTTCTATAATTCCTACACTCCCCCTCAAGCTGGAGAATATACATTGTATAATCTCAGCTTGAATAGGAATTTATTGAAAACAGGCTTTGGCAAAGCCTTAGTAAGAATGTCTGCAACTTGTTCTTCTGAAGGAAAGTACGAAAGTGTGGCGTCTTTTTGTTAACTTGATCAGCAATAAAATGTCTATCAATCTCAACATGCTTTATCCGATCATGTTGAACTGAGTTCTTGACAATTTAAATAGCAGATTGATTATCACACAAAACTTCAAAGTGATCCTCTTGATTAGTGACAAGTTCTTTCAGTAGTTTAAGTAGCCAAATTCCTTCGCATATTCCCAATGCTAGTGCTCTGAATTCAGCTTCAGCACTACTTCTTGAAACAACAGATTGTTTCTTACTTCTCCAAGTTGTAAGGTTTCCCCAAATAAAAGTGCAGTAGCCACTAGTAGATCTCCTTTCAGTAAGGTCTCCGGCCCAACTAGAATCTGTAAAGATCTTAACAGTTCTGTCTTATGTCTTCTTAAACATTAAACCGTGTCCTGAAGTTTTCTTCAAGTACTTGAGAATTCTATTTGCTGCTG